AATATATTTTTCTATTTCACTAAAATCTTTTACTTTTGATTTCAACTCTTTTACAATATCAGGATTGAAACCACGTTGAGGATGAATACAATTCTTGTAGTCACAAAGACGACGACTTGGTAATACAAGAAAACCAGTACCAGACTTTTTATCAAAAGCAATTTCCTCATATGCACTAGGACACTTTGCACAAAGGCTTAGGCAATACCGTATAATCATAGGATGATATTGTACAGAAGTTGGATTTGATAATAAGTATTTTTGTTGCTCATTCCAAAAGAACTTCATAAATGGTGAAACAAATTTTTCAAAAGCATTTGACATTAGACTTTTCATATCATCATCAAGGTCAGAGGTTACTTGAAATTAATTTTTTTGAATTTCTTCTTGCATCTCTTATTTCTTGCTTTAAAAAAGCATTTTCAGATCGATAGTTTTGCAAAGTAAGTTTATTTCTATCAGGTGAAGTTAATGACATTGGGGCATTCAATTGAGCAGGTTTTGTGATTGTTTCAGCTTTATGTTTTACAGCCTTATGATGTTTATTATTATATGACAATTCCAAAGTTTTACATTTATTACAAATATTACCAGATTTTATCAATAACAAACACAAAGTTGACCTGTTAAGTTCAGTCTCAAATGTAGTAATTGAAGAAACACTTGGGTTGTACAACTTTGTAAGAATTTGTTTTTAAAAAATGTTTGAACCAGAAGCAACACCCTGACATGAGTAAGATGATAAATTCGATAAAGTAATGTTTTTAACTGATTTGTTATAATTAGAACATATCTCATGCTTATCTTGTAAGTTCCAAGCAAAAGATCATATTGTAAATAATAGACTAGGTTAAATATACTCTTCGTATTGGGGTTGTAGGTGAATACTATCCAATTTGAAAACTTTGACTAAATCTTTTGATATAACAAGTTCCCATGATTCCAACATAAGGGTGCTGACACAATCTACAAATTCTGAAAACGATTTATAAAAAGAATGTATATCATTTTGAACTTTGTAAATTTCACAGCAATCTTTTTTCAACTCAATACTTGGAAGTTTTGGTATTGCTAAGGAACTAAAAAAAAAGGAAAAAGAAAAAACTACTTTTAAATGAAAAATAAAAAATTAAAAAATTATCAATTTTAAAATTTTTACCTAGATGTTTGAACACTCCTTTTTGGTAAATTTTTTGAAGGTAAAGATCCTGAAAGATTTATATATATATATATATATACTATATATATATATATATATATATATATATATATATATATATATATATATATATATATATATATATATATATATATATATATATATATATATATATATATGTATATATATATATATATATGTATATATATATATATATATATATATATATATATATATATATATATATATATATATATATATATATATATATATGTATATATGTATGTATATATATATATTTATATATATATATATATATATATATATATATTATATATATATATATATATATATATATATATATATATATATATATATATATATATATATATATATATATATATATATATATATATATATATATATATATATACATATATAAGATGAGACCGTCCATTAGTCTTGAATATATACTAATAAATAAATATTATAACTATTTTGAATGTCTCCATAAAAAGAAGTAATTTGAAACAAATATATATGGGTGTGTAATGTGTGTGTACATGCATATACATAATAATATCAGTTCAATAACAATTGGTGCATTGACTTTTCTCATCTTAGTAACCCAGCATTTAATAGCTGTGTCAATCCCTTAACTTACATAGTCCTTTCTAAAAATATATAGTTGTGAAAAGAAAATTTTAAAGAAGTCATAAAACTTTACTACTAAGTCTCAATGTCTGTCAAAATGTCGAAAATATTTGCCTAATTTATTTTGTTAAAGATTTTTATATTTATAAACTTTTTTAAATAATTATGAAATCTGGTCACTTAGCAACCAGCAGTCTTTTATTGATGGCAAACTAATCAAACTATTCTTTCTTTTAACCATATTCACTTCTAACTGAGCTGCAAGCACTAATAGAGTTGGAAGTACTGAAAGAGAAAAAATGAAGTTTATAAAGTAAGATAATAATTAGCAGATGAATTAAAAGCAAATTATATGAATTAGGAAACAAGATGAAGGGAGCCAAGTCAAAGGAACTGAAGTTTGAAGAAAAAAATGAAACAATTATAATTATATATTATTTTGATATAGTATTTATAAAAAAGTAAAAGACAAGCAACATTATGATAATATGAAAATTTAACCATTTTTCGTTTTGGCACCTTGTTTAAAAGAGAAATGACATCATTCAAAGTTTCACTTCAGATATAAAAACAGTATTCTATACAAGGATGGATTTTTATGAAATAAAGAATAAAATCTGGAATAAAAAAGTGACGAACACAATAAAGAGATGCATCATTAGCAGTTGCTTATTTTGCAATAGATTTTTTATATGGTTACCTTAAAGTAAGAGTTAATCCTAGAAAACAAAGGATAAATGACTCATTAAATCATTACATTTCATAAATATAGGGGGATCTAGATTGTTGCAATATAGATTAGCTGAAAAAATTGAGTTTTATTTGAGTTAAAGTTCACCAACCACTGAGAGCCCCATGCAGTAGCAGAAGTGAGATCTTTTTCAAGCTCAAATGCCCCCTTTCAAACAATAAGAGTGTGCCCCCTTAGTTGTAAGATTATCAAGGAGATCGTTAATGTAAATAAAAAATCATAGAACCAAGGAAAGAATCTTGAGAAACTTCTGAAGTTACAAGAAATGAAGAAGAGTGTTGAATATTAAGGACACTTTTTATACTCCAATAAATAAGGAAAGATTCAATAATCTTAAACATGTTAAATGATGCTTTGTAAGAAGAGAGCGTATGGAGAAGACTAGTATTCCGAACTTTATCAAAGGCTTTAGAAATGCCGAGAATGATAGCTTTAACCTCCCCATAGCTAATGCGCAATAAAACCTATCAGTTATAATCGTTAACAAATCGTTAAAAGCGCGAGAAGATTAAAATCCATATCGATGATGAGAAAGTAAGTTATTAGATTTAGGATGAGAGATTTAGTGTTAGTTAAATAAAGACTCAAAAATCTTGCTTGTGGAAGGAAGAAGACTAATGAGACAGTAGTCAGATGAGTCAAATCGCTTTCCAGACTTTTTGAAAATAAAAATAGATGCTGCTTTCCAGCAGGCTGGAAAAAAAGACTCTGACAAGCACTTGTTAAACAGTTTTGAAAGTATAGACAACAGCTGCAGAAAACACTTCTGCAAGACTATAACAGGTACATTGTTCGAACCACAGAATGTAGAAAAGAAAAACACACTTTCTGCATTTAAAGTAAAATTATTTTACATACAGAACCTAGAGTGATGCAAATGTCAACCAAATTATCAATTTGCTTGTCGGCTATATCAGGTAGGATGTAATTAGTGGAATCAAGAGATGAACTTAATAAAAAGTTCTTAGCAAACAATTGAGCTTTGTCTTTAGGTAAAAAATTCTGCACCATGCAAAGGAGAAAGAATAACAGATTTGCCATTTTTATAGACACTCTTAAAGATTCTCCAGAAGTCTCTGGATCCTAATTTTTGGGATGAAATGCGAGATTCAGTGAATCTTTTTATAAAAGTTTTTAGCAATAGTAAACAGACATCTGTTTTCTGGAAGTTTGTTTTGGCGATATATATGGAAGTGATGGTTATGATTGAATATTGTAGTAACACAATTGTAGGAGGAAAATAATCGAAAAGAGTGAGGCTTAACTTGATTTTGTCAAGAGGGAATAAGACTCCATGTCATTTTTTAAATTAGTCAAACAACTTGCCTTAAGGCAAGTATTCAGTACACTATTCATTAGTTCATGCAATAGGCTCATTACTATTAATAGACCCGAAGCTGTAAAAAAAGGCTCTAAATGTGGCCTTGATAGTGCGCACTAAATGTACGACAGGGACACCAACCATGCGCAAAACGGTACTGTCAGTACTCTGCTATTTTAAAGCTGTACCCTAATTAGCCTCTCTGAGAGCAACCACAAAGTTCAGGAATCCTGATAACCAGCCGATCTCTGAGACATAAAACTGAGTTTTAGAGCTGTACCCTCATTAGGAGATATTAATATGAGTTGCCTAGTCAAAAAAAAAGACACAACCAAAACCCATTCAATGAGTCATTTTATCCAGCATTAAACATCCTAAACTGGAAACAAGGTATAATAAATAAATCTATGCCAGCCTAAATAATAAAAAAAGGGGTGAAAACCTGGTCAACAGATAGAATCTGTTTACCCTATAGGTCTTTGCCTAGAAGGCTTTAAATGTCTGCCCAAGATGAATGTTTTTATTGACACCATCTTTAGCCTTTACTCAACCATGGGTGTTTTAAGTCAGAGTTAGCATCTCCTAGCCTTTGCCTGAAAAGGTGTATTCTGAAAGGCAGCAGAACATGAAATAGGTTTTACTGGGTTATAGGGTAACATTTAGTTGGATACCCAGACATGACAGTAAATTATAATATATATTAAATACAATGTTACAAGAAATTTAGAGAAGCAAAAACAATAAATAAGCAAGAAGTACATTGTATTCACTTCCAACACATCATTTTAATTTAATTTTTAAAAATGTCTTCGTAGATTTAGTAAAAAAACTATATAATCAACTATTCATAAACAATAAAAACAAATTAAAAACAAAAATATAAATAAATGCATGCATATATTTATGTTTAAATTTTGTTCTATTTCAGAACAAAAAATTGTTGCTCTTTTTGAGTAAACTAACATCATAACAAATATAAAATGTTTACTTGTAACAATTACTCAATTATAAATAATATATCAAAAAATAAATCTACAATTTCTTAAAAATATAATAATAAAAGCATGTTTAAATTTTCTTTTTTATTAAAATTAAAAAAGAACTAAACATTTTACCAAAACATTCCTTTACTTCAGAGCTGTTACCATAACAATTATAAACAGAACTTGAACTATTGCACTCTCTTGTTCTATTTATAAATCCATGTGTAACATTACAACTGGTCCAATTGCTCCATTGTGACCAAAAAACTAAAGTAGGATATAAGTTTTAAAAACTCTAAAATTTGTTTTAAAAAGATGTTAAATATTTTATTGAAAAGAAAAGTTTATTGTTTTACTAAAATATTTTTTTACCAAAGCATTCCTTAACTTCAGACCTGTTACCATAACAATCATAAATAGAAATTGAACTATTGCACTCTCTTGTTCTATTTACAAATCCATGTGTAACATTACAACTGGTCCAATTGCTCCACTGTGACCAAAAAGCTAAAGTATGATATGAGTTTTAAAAACTCTAAAAAATTTTTAAAAAGATGTTAATTATTTTGAAGAAAAGAAAAAAGTAATATTACACTAAATTATTTTTTTACCAAAGCATTCCTTTACTTCAAATTTATTTCCCTTACACTCATCAATAACATTAGAAGAGTTACATTCTCTTGTCTTGTTTGTAAACCCATGAGAAGCATTACAACTTGTCCAGTTGCTCCATTGGGACCAAAAAGCTTAAGAAAGAAATGAGTTTTGCAATATTTGATGATTGTATGACTGTGTATGTGGTAAAGAAAAATTAAATTTTGAAAATATTTGATGATAGTATGAGTGTGGATGATAGTATGACTGTGGATGTATAGGAATTAGTATAAGAAAAGAGTTTTAATTAGTTCAGAAAAAAATATTATTAAGAGTTAAAATAAAAAAAACAACTTTACATAAAAAAAATGAGTAAACAATGATAAAAAAAACAAAAAACCTTTAACCATTTAACAGTTGTGTGTTTTTTTAAATTACAATCGCAATTAATCCAGGTTTTTTTTTTTGAAGCGGTCTCTAAATGTCCCTTGTTTATGAAAAACATAATGTTTTTTTAATAATTAACTAAAAAAAGTTTTATTACTTCTTTCAACACTATTAAACTCAACAAAATGTTGTTATTCAAGTTTAAGAATATATAATTATACTATATAAACACAAAATTTCAAAAATATATTCACTTATATTAACTTTTTGTTTGATAATTAGAAAAGCATGGAGCTGCACAAAGTCCTACATTACATTCTACACATTCATATCTTGAATCATTTCAAATTTTGTGTTTGTAACATACCCCACATCTTTTCTGAGCATTAATCTTTCATTATCACATTCATTAATCATTCATCATATATATCTTCTCATTAATCATTCATCAAATATATCTTCTCATTAATCATTCATCATATATATCTTCTCATTAATCATTCATCAAATATATCTTCTCATTAATCATTCATCAAATATATCTTCTCATCATCCATTTTCAGATATAATAATAGAATAGTATTAAAAATCTCATCATCCATTTTCAGATGCTTAACTTAACAACAACCCATTATTAAACACTCTCGCAGGACACTCTTAAACTTCAAAACATTGTACCTGTACCTAAGGTAAAGTATAAAAGTGGAGTTTTATACATGTTACTTAGGTAACTATCAGAAGATGTTTTCTCATTAGCCAGACACTTTCTACTGTTTTAACCCCTATGTTTTACACTTTCTACACTTTTAACCCAAATATACATATATATGCTAGCAATATTGTTAGTTATATATGTAAAAATGTTAGAGCAAAAACCTAAATTAAGACACTAAATATTAAAGCAAAATGTTTCAAAAAATATTTACATAACTTTTATCTTTGTTATTAAAACATTACAATAAATTACTATTTTATTAATAATTTACATTAGTACTTTTTAAATAGTTTTATATTATTAACTAAACTACTTAAAATATAATTAAAATGACATAAATAGTATGGCTTAAACAATGATTGGCGCATTCATGTTGAGCGTTCATACATCGAGTGAAGATTTTAGCTTCGACATACAGTCTATTTGTTTAAAAATTATAAAGTTTTCCATGCCTTATTTCTAAAAAAGTTTTATTACAATTATCAGGATTATTGTCATTTTTTTTATTATTTAAATTTTTTTTAGCTATAAACACCCCCTTTTATAATCATTTTTATTACAATTTTTATCTAACAACTATTGAATGTTATTAGACACCAATACTTTTTTTTTTAAGCAATCAAACAGCAGTTGTTTAAAGCTATGTAAATAAGGTCTTTTCTCTTATGTTTTTACATGCATAACTAACAATATTGCCAACATATATCTTTTTCTGGCTAGAAGTTAGAACTGTAGAAAGTGTCTGGGTAGTGAGAAAACATCTACTAGTTACTTAAATAACATGTATAAAATTCAACTTTTAAACATTAAATATGTAATGTTACAATTTTTAAAGGTTTATAGGAGTTTAGCAGGGGGTTGTCACCATGTTAATTGTCTGCTGATGGATCAGGTGATTTCTATTACAATCCCAAAGAAAATAGAATATTTTGCCTCATAAATTGATAAATTTTGGCTGGTATTTTAAACACCTTTGGTAACTGTTACATGCTGAAGCCGCCATGCTACATAATTACATTGTTTCTATTCATGTTGGAGCAATACCATTAGGACTTTTAATCTTGTATAAAATAACATACGTCTGGTGGACACAAACTTTTAAAGTATTGATAAATGACCGTTAAGAAAACTGCTATTCATAACATCTCATTCTCACTTGAGTTTTCTGAGTTTATCAATGAATTTAGATTAAAAAAACACCATATAAAAAAATAAATGATAAAATTGCAAACATAAATTGTTAATATGTAGTAACTATCAATTTGTATAATAACTCAAAAATTAAATTTAAAAGTTTCTAAAAAATTTAAATTTGTTTTCCATTCTTAACTAAAATAAAAAATCAAGTAATACTTTAATTCTGACCTTAACCTTCTCTACTACTTACTAAAGATACTTAACATTCTCTACTACTTACTAAAGATACTTAACATTCTCTACTACTTACTTAAAATACTTAAATTAAAAGACTTAACTCAACACTCCAAATGTTTGTTTGGAAACAGCAACATAAAACCTTACCTACTCTATTTCCTGGCTTTTTTAATTATAAAAAAAAATACTTGTTACCATCTTCAATCAGCATAAAATTTATTAAGTTATCTATACCTAAAAATAGAACTTACTATAATGACCATGAATCTGTTAAATATTAGAGCATATGCACAGTTAAACAGTTGAAACCTCTCACTACATTGTCCAAATTCATAAAAAGTCTATTTAGTTTTTTATTAAACAAGTATTCTTCCTAATTCCTATGCTAGTCTACTGCTGACTATCTATTATCCATCTTAACTTTACTCGATTCAATGGTGTTTTATAACTGCTACTTGCTCTTTTTTAATTTTTCTCAAATTTGTTTAAAAATTGTTTGTTATATCACCTTTCTATTTAAACTTACACTATTATAAATAATGCTATTTATATTATTGTTGATATTATTACTATTATTATTATTATTGTTATTATTGTTATTATTGTTATCATTACTAATATTTATAAAATTGTTATTTTTCAGTTACTATTATTACTATCTTGATTATTAATAACAATAACTGGAGTTTTTATTATTATTGCCTATTATTATTACTGATACTATTATTACTATATTATTAATGTTGTTGTTGTATATTATTATGACCTAACTTTCTTTTTTTGCTATATCTTAATTAGTTATATAAAAGTATTATATTTTAGATAGATGTACAAAAGTAAATTGAATAAGTATATTTTGCTTTAAATAAATCAAATTTTTAAATAAAGC